GGGTCGGGGTGGGTTGGCCGTGCGACGTGACCCACCGTGCCCCGGGGACGTGCGGGTCGGGGTGGGTTGGCCGTGCGACGTGACCCACCGTGCCCCGGGGACGTGCGGGTTGGCGTGGGTTGGCCATGCTACATGACCCATAGATCCAAGGACCCTCACGTACCGCGGGGTGTTAGCCCCCTCCCTGTTCACCCAGCAGTGCTACTCACCCTGAAACAGTTTTCCGCCCTTTTGCAAACTTCTCTCGAAAACTTAGCTTTCTGCTCCTCGGATTTGGTCAAATTTTTCCGAAGCCCACACCCTCCACCCAGTTCCTGCCAAGGCTCATTCGACTTTTGGTCTCTTTTCTGGTTTAACACGGTTCAGACGCCTCCCCCTGACCCCATCCCCGCCAGGGGTCACAGAACGTAGAACAGTACAGGCCCTTCGGCCCACGATGTTGTGCCGAACTTTTACCCTAATCCTAAGGTCTATCTAACCTCCACCCCTACCTTATACTATCATCCATATGCCTGTCTAATAGCCGCTTAAACGCCCCCTAATGAGGCCGACTCCACTACCCTCTCCCGGCAATGCATTCCACGCCCCGACCACTCTCTGAGTAAAGAACCTACCTCTGACGTCTTCCCCTATATAGGGGAGCACGGTGGCTCACGGCGCCAGGGACCCAGGTTTGATCCCACCCTCGGGCGACTGTCTGCGTGGAGTTTGCACATTCTCCCCGTGTCTGTGTGGGTTTCTTCTGGGTGCTCCGGTTTCCTCCCACAGTCCAAAGATGTGCAGGTTAGGGTGGATTGGCCATGCTAAATTGCCCGTAGTGTGCAGGGATGTGTAGAATTGGTGGGTTATAGCAGGGTGGGATGCTCTGAGGTTCGGTGTGGACTGGTTGGGCCAAAGGGCCTGTTTCCACACTGTAGGGATTCTATGATATCTACCTCCACTCACTTTAAAACTCGTAATAGCTACCTCCACCGTAGGAAAAAGTCTCTGGCTGTCCACTCTATCTATACCTCTGATCATTTTGTACACCTCTATCAAGTCAGCTCTCATCCTTCGTCGTTCTAAAGAGAAAAGCCCCAGCTCTCTCATCGAGCTATTAAACGTGAAATTTCCTCTGAAATCGGTAGATCTCGGCTTCTCACTCACCAGGCTATTTTCCCATTTACTTTTGGTGCCGCGCTGTTGGAGGGAGATGGATATACTCTACGGGGGACTCAAGCTCCATAATCCAGGCCGACACTCCCTCCCTCCCTCCCGGTGCCAGTACTGAGGGAGCGCCGCGCTGTCGGAGGGAGATGGATATACTCTCGGCCGACACTCTCTCCAACGAAGATGAGCAGCATTGGGAGGAACTGCTTCCGCTGATGTTTTGTCCCCACTTCCCGGTTTCAGAAAGTGACCAGCATCACGGTTTTTTTCTCTCTTTCCCAACCCAACCCAACATCCCCGCGTTTTCCTCGCGGCTCAGTCACATTCCTCGCCCTTTCGGTCTCCGAACTGGAGGATGGCTGTTGTGAGACAGATCCTCGGTGGGTGACGTGCGCAGTTGTGGTCTCCTCGTCCGAGGAAGGACACTTCTTGCTGTCGAGGGAACCCCAGCAAAGGTTTCCCCAGACGGATTCCCAGGAAGGCAGGCCTGGCGCGTGGATCGACCGGGCTCGTGTTCGCTGGGATTTGGAACAATGAGGTGGGTGGGGAATCTCATAGACCCGTATAAAATCCTGATGGGACTGGACAGGTAGATGCGGGCAGAACGTTCCCGATGTTGGGGGATGCCCAGGACTAGGGCAGACGCAGCCTGAGGATAAGGGGGAAGCCATTCCGGACTGAGACGAGGGAGAATTTCTCCACTCGAAGGAGCAGCGAACCTGTGGAATTCTCTCCCACGCAGGGAGGGTAGGGGAGAGTTAGTTAGATATATTCAAGAGGGAGCTGGAGGTGGGCTTTGGGGCGAAAGGGATGGAGGAGCGGGAGTGGGATTCTGAGATTGCACGGTGGTACAGGCTAGACGGGCTGAATGGCCTGTTTTGCACGTTTCCAGAAACAAGAGTATCCAAACTTCCAGTCCTTTGCAGCTCAGAATCGGCAGGACAGTGGGCAGCGAAGAGGTTTATCACAAGGGGATCTCGACCCATTGGGCTGAGGGAGGGGCAGGTGGAGTTTAATTTGGATAAAAGTGAGGGGCAGGGCTTATACAACTGAAAGTAGGGCCCTGGGGTAGTGTTGTAGGACAGAGGGACCCAGGGGAAGGGGGTTTTGCAGGGACATAACCCTTTGAAGTTAGCGTCCCAGGTAGACAGGGCTGTGAAGAAGGCGTTCGGCACTCTCGCCTTCAGCGCTCAGACCCTTTGGGGGGGTGTAAGGAGTCGGGGAACGTCACGTTAAGGTTGTACACGGATGTTGGTGAGGCCTCTTCTGGAGCAACTGTGTGTCCAGTTCTGGTTCCCCCCCCCGTTTCAGGAAGGACGTTATTAAAGCTGGAGAGGGCTCGGGGGGAGATTTACCAGGATGTTGCTGGAGACGGAGTGTTTTGAGTTATAAGGGGAGGCTGG